CAACGGCCCTACCCTGGTTTGCGAGGCGCTGTGCGCTGCAACTCCCGTGGGCTGACAGGGTAAACCCTGCGTGACGTGCCGCGTCCTGGCGGCTCTAGGCTTCGGGGGTTCCCAGGAGGTTTGCAGACCACGCACTTGCAACCCAGGGTAGGCTCGTTTTTTCATCCCTCAACTTAGCTGCCTCGACACGCCCGTTTCGAGACGCAACACGAACGGTGCTTAGAACGTCCGTGCCAATACGTTGCGTGTTGGCTCAGCGCGTTGGCCCACGCTCTGGCGAGCGTATCGCGTGAGGCCTACGTGGTCGGTCTACGTCTTGAGCTCCGTATCATCGCAGGCCTAGAGGTTGACACCAACACCAATATCGGCGGTTTGCTTCGACCGAGGGAAGAAGATCCCGATCCCGGTGATGGCGGTAGTGTCCTGGCTTCCAAGGGGACCGAAATATTACCGCCAACACCGAAATCTAGGATCACTAGGGGGCCACACGCGAACCCTTCCCCTACCCCCCACGATTTCTGAGGCGGAGGGTGGGGTTCACTTCGCTCGGGAGCTCCCGAGCGAAGCGACCCCCCCCCCCCTCCCCCTCAGAACTCGTGGGGGCAGGGGGCGGGGCTCGCGTGTGGCCCCCTCTGATCACCTTCCCCCCGTGGAGGCACCACCCTGCGTTGGTCTCGGTGCCCAGTTCCCAGGCCTCCAACACCAGCCCGCGGCGCGCGGCGCGCTGCGCACCGGGGCAGCCAGGCGCGCACGCTCCCCCACGCGCGGGGGGACACACGGCGCGCGCCGTGCGGCCGCCGCGCGACCTGCCTCCTGCGGCCGCGGGGGGGGGGCAAATCCGCCGGGAGCTGCCGCGTCGTCTCGGACGCCTCGGTCGCTGGGAGCGCGCTCGCTCCGGCAGCGCCGGGGGGCGTCTCCACGCCTGCAGCGGGGCCGGCGGTCGCCAGAGCGTCCGCTGCGACGCGGTGCGCTGCTCACGAGCCGAGTGCGTACCACCACCGGCTCCTCCTCAGTCTTCCGGCTCCCCTCCGCCTCCTCCATCTCTCCCCTTCCCGATCCTCCTCGCCCCCCCCTCCTGCTCCTCCTCCCTCCTCCTCCCCATGCTCCCCCTCCGCTCCTCGTCCTCGTGCTCCCCCT